CCCCAAAACCCCAAAACCCCAAAACCCCAAAACCCCGAAGCTTGATTGGATTATTGAAAATAGTTTGGAACTCGCCAATGGAAGCTAATATATTTGACAACATTTTGGGTAATATTTTACAGAAGGTGAAAGAGATAGATAATCTCTGGGATCATTTGTTCTCGTTCATGAGGAGAAATACTGATTTCTTTGATAGTCCAGAGGAAGCAAAAAGTTGCATTTTTGAACAGTTCGACAAACATCTCCAGAAGTTTCAAAGCAATATCAAAAAAGAGCATTTAGCTAGTGTGAAAAAGGAAGAAAATAAACTTCAAATTGTTTCATCTGTATTGCCAAATACTGAGAACTGTAAAGTTGAAGAATTTTTTGAGAAGGTACCTCTGAGATCTATTCCCTCTCAAAATGTAGACAGCCAAGAGTCAGAAGTCGTTCAAAATTCTGATGTAGCCAGTAAAGAAGAATCAGATGTGACTCTTCTGGTCGGGAATTGACTACAAACTGATACATATTCTTTTACCCAGACCTTATCGGATCTGACTTTAAATGTGTTTATCCCTCAAGATACTAAGGCGAGAGACTTAGAAGTAATCTACACTTCTAATTCTCTAAGAGTTGGTTTAAAAGGACAAGTTCCCATTTTCGAAAGAGAATTGTTTGGTAAAATTGTTACTAGCGAAACTCTGTGGAGTATTGAGTCCTGTGGCACTCAAAAATCAATAGTCATAACCTTAGAAAAGACAGATAAAATGTGTTGGTGGGGGTCAGTCATCATTGGAGGAGACTGAATTGACAAAGACAAAATTGAACCTGAAAACTCCAAACATTCTGATCTTGATTAGGATACTAGACAAGTTGAAGAGAAATTAAAATTTGATCAAGAACAGAAGCAGAGAGGACTTCCAACAAGCTAAGAGATTATGAAGAAACAACAGTTAGAACATTTTATGAAGAAGCACCCAGAAATAGATTTTTCTAAGGCAAAATTTTGTTAAGGGTTATGAAAAATAAAAGGATCTTGAGCAAGCTTACGAGCAGCCTGTTCAATTTCAATCTAAATTTAGATTGAGGGGTTTTGGGGTTTTGGGGTTTTGGGGTTTTGGGG